AGTAGAAGGAGTCGGAAAGCGGATCGGAAGGGGATGAAGGTACGTGCGTCGAGATGGAACTGAAATCTACCATTTGTGCACCATTCAAGTTGGCGTTTCTTGATTTCCCAGCGGGGAAAAGAACGGGTTAGGTAGGTGTGAGAGGCCATTGGGAGAGCATTGACTGGGTGAGCCAGCATGACTGATGCTGCTTCGGTTTCTACTGCGCGAAGACTTGAAGGGATTAGAAGGACTGGTAGGCGGAGGTTTGATGGTGGGTTTGATGGGTGCATCGAAGACGTATAGAGTAGTATCAGGCGTAATGAATTCTAGATGAATCGATCCATGTCAGCTCTCCATAGACTGATGGGTGGAAGGACGGCGACGTACCAACTTCTTGAGGCACATCATATATCACATCCTCGTAGTTGGGAAAGTATACGGCCAACTCGCTCTTCAATCGTGTCCCTTCATCCTGTGATCGCAGTGACCGCCTTTCTGAGGGATTCCTTCCGCCCGTCTTCTGCGGCGCCGATGGATCGGGTGTGGTCGCTTGTGACACATCTGATGGTATTTCATCTTCTCTGACATTCAGACTCCTGCGAACGCCATTGGTGATTTGGAGGAGTTTGCCGTGGGGTTGCTCGACGGTCAGCTTCGTGGGAGGTCGCGTAACAGGCGTGTTGCTGCGAGTTGCGCGCGAGGATGCATTGCTATACTTGGGAGGCGTGGGTTGCGGTCGAACACTAATTTTGATTCTCTTCCTGGGTCTTTCTTCGTCTGTTATGGAGGACGCGACGGTTATGGTGTCGGATATGGTTGGATGAGGATGATGCTGCGGAGCTGTGAGGGGTTCATCCTGAGAGGTCGAAGTCGCCGTCTTCTGATGGACAAGCACGCTTGGTGATCGCGTACGCGGCCTCAATGAGTTGACCATTCCGCTGGCTGTGCAAGGGCATCGTATTGCAGCATGCGCATCTGCTTGCAACCAAGCAATTGGCAGTATGCGCGTGAGTTTCGCGATGCAATTCTCCTGGTCACAGAAGGGGCCCCGGCGTCCTTTCCCGCATCTCCAAACTCTATTCCGCTGGTCTTGGCGTTGGTGAGAAGATGTAAGTTGTTCGGTCGCTGGAGCGTTTGGCACCATCCCGTAAGGGTTCACCATGTTCCACCTTGTATGTAAGAGTTCAGGGCTTGTACAGATTTGATGCGGAAAGACTTGGGAAGTGTCGCGATGGATCGAGTATCACATCGTCAACACGCCACGAGTTAGAAGCACATTGGGGTGAGGGGCACGCTTGATGAAATGCTCGAGGGCTATATATTCTTCATCTTCATTGACGCTTTGCTATGCATTATTCATTAAGGTCGTATTCCTATCCTGCAGATCACAACGCTCATCTCCAGTCATTATACTCTCTTAGGAGAAAATGAAGTCCTTCAGTATAGGGGATCCGGAGAACTCAGGGTTGAGTAATATACAACTATCTAGTTTAGTGGAGCTCGTAGGCATGTATGGGATAAACTCACTTCAAGAAATGGGACAGACCGGCTTTCCTGTGCTCCAAGAACTTCGGTCTGAACCGTGCTATGAATTGGTAAGTTCAAGAATGCTGACAAGGAGGCTTGACTTCCTTACATATAACGCTTTTCCGTGGCAACTCAGGTATGGACGCCTCCGAAAGTGGGAATGCACGCAAAAGATTCTCCCTCAGCTGATCGAATTCAGAGTATCTACAGCATGTTTGTTAGGCTACTGAACGAATTTCTTCCCAGTGGCGGACACACCCGATAGCATACCTCTTGCGAATGGTGAAGGGACCGCCCTTCAAAGTTTCTACAGTGCAATTCCAGACAACATAGGCGCCAATGCCCGTCGGGCCGCTCACAACTACGTAGTCACCAATCGTTACGTGCTTCGCCCAACAAGCTCTGCTCTGCTCATGGTCTTCCTCGGAGTGATCTTCGAGCTGTATGGGCGTAGGCCGAAGATGTCTTATTGATGTGTAAGAGACTGTCGAATCTGTACGTCCATGTCGGTTCCAGAATGGTGGCGCTGGTGTGGAGTCTTCGCGGGGGCGAGCGTGTGCATGTGCGGTGGCGGCGGGCTTTGGCTGTATAGAGGTGTCGTCTTGGCTAGACTGCCGTACCGAAGGGTCATCGACCGCCGCCTCCATTCATCCTCAGTCGGGCGGTCTGAAAGACGGACAGTGCGACAAATAGGGCAGGTGTAGTGTGCTGCCAAAGGACAAGTACGCGTTCGATGGTCGGGTGGCTGTATGCGGCTGCAGCTGTGATGCGGGTGAGCAGAGTTGGTGGGTGGTTGGACAGGACACAATTGCTTGGCCTCGGCCTGTTCCATCCAGGCTAAAGTAGAGTAGGCTCGCACAGACGACAGTACAAGCCACACATATCGCGGAGCAAACAGCAAGATCACACAACAAAGTCTTGCAGGTCGTTGGGTCACTCAGTGTAATTGCATTCACCATGTGTAATTGCTGCATGTACAAGAGATGAAGATGAATAAACGCTGAAACGACCACGACATCTGGCAACCGGTCCGGAGAGAGGGAGATAGGGAGAGATGGTATGATCTGCAGATTGCCTCTAGCGCGCCACGAATAGACGACATGCGGAGAAGACCCAGCGGCGACCTAAACAACTGCCCTGCATCTTGCCGATTCTCGACTCTTGAAATCAACAACGCGTCGTCCGGCCTCTCCTCTCGGCCATTCTGCCGCCTCTCGTGCATGCACTACCCGTATGTACGCTGCCTAACTTTCCGATCAGATGCCAGTCCGCGGTCGTGCGTCTTCCGGCTGCAGTGTTTCGCTCGCTATCTTGCAGATGGCGGGCCAAGGATGAGATGCAGCCGTCCCCGGGTGGCAGGCTACCTCCTAGCTTGTCTCGCCATGACCACCTCCATCCGTGCCGGCCGTGCACATGTTTCTTCCGCGATAAAAGTGCCAGCGGCTCCTTTGCTCTAGCAGCTTCCCTTCTCCTCTCATCTACCTTCGCTTCTGCCCCTTCTCGACCTCCTTGCCACGTACCGTACGTTCGTGTTTACATCTACAAGCACGAGACCTTTCCACACTCGTTACGAAGAACCACATAGGTAATATATAATTCCCGAAGGATCGAGCTACAAGGTACCAACGAACTCCCCGAACTTTCTGTACGCCTCCGGACTCCGACTGACCTGCTCTTTAACAGTCCCACAACCACCGTCTCAACCAAAAGTATCCACATCAATCCGTTCATCATGCGGTCCTTCACCACTGTCCTCTTCGCTGCGGCCCTCTCTGGTTTTGCCTCCGCTCAGCAGTACACCATCGACCCCGACTCCGTCCCCCAGTCCACCAGAGGTAAGCTAATGCTTGCGTCCCTTTCGCCATACACGTTCTCTAACACCCCTAGATGCATGGTGTCAGTCCCAGATCACGCAATGCCCTCTCATCTGCTTGCAAACCGCCGGTAACTCCGCCGCCACCGATGCCAACTCTTGCAATTCCGACAACCTGAGCTACGCCTGTGTCTGCTCGAACGGCCTGTCTCCCAACGTCTCCGAATACTCCCAGACCCTCCCATACTACGTCTGCACAGAGTGGGGCAACCAGTGCGTGAGCGGCTGCGGTCAAGACAACACTTGCTCCAACAACTGCCGCGCCAACCACCCTTGCGGTGCTCAGAACCCAACCAGAGTGAACACTAGCACCATCACAACCTCCATGAGCAAGACCAGCTCCGGCCTTGCAGCTGGTGCTACCTCCAACAGCGCTGGCGTCGTTTACACCGGCCTCGGCGGTTCTGATAGTGCCGCTACCACCACCGGTGGCTCTAGCAGCTCTCAGACCAGCGCTGCTGCTGCTGGTGCCAACCTCCAGAGCGGTGCCCAGAAGGCCCTACAGGTCGGCCAGGCTTACGGCATGTTCGTCGTTGCCGGTGCTATCTTCGGTGGCTTCGCTCTTCTTCTGTAAGAGCAGGATATCGGATGTTTTCTTTCTTTGATTCTGAATGAGATGGATACGCGCAGTCGGTCCTTTTTGGCATGGGCATAGCAAGCGATCAAGCGATGGTCTTCTGTTGATATTTCTGTCGATGCAACGTGCGCGTCGTTCTTTTTGGGTTTACGTTATGGTAATATGGTCGGACATGGTCAGACAGATTTGGTATTGCGAGATAAAAAGTTCGATTCCTCGCTCCCACTTGAATATTTCGATGTCCGGGCTATCTGTATCTGCTGCAGATCAGCTTCCGCCTCAGTCGCCTCTACATTGTGATTGTTTCCGAGTACCACTAATACGGAGTTGGCTCTCTCATATCGGAACTCGCCAAGCTTTGCTTTTAGGTCGACTAAGCTGGGCGTCCAATTTACGAGACAAACAGGCTGCGCCGTTCGAAGTAAAATTTATAAACGGTGGCCAAGCCTCGTTCAAAGGACGAGCCGCGATCTCCAAGGCCTAACATCTCAAGATGGCGTCTCGACTCACGGTTAAAATACTCGCAGACCTTCAAGTACCGCACGAAGTACGGATCTCACCATCCGGCGAGCATGACTTGTACAACCTGAGACCAGATGCCGGTAGGCCGTAGGGAGAACGATAGGGTCTCTTCAACATGGGTTACGGACGTGGAAAAGTATCCAGCCCGGAAATTGTGACTGCGGTGTCTTGATGTTTCAGTCGCGGCATATCACCGCCTCGCCAAATGTGTGTTTGTTCACTAGCATCATATTCGTAACCGTCTTGTCACATCCTGATAAGTCGGCTCTACGAACCCCGGGCGTGGGAGTTTCGCTCAGATAGATCACGCCGACGGAGAGACACGCTTCGTAGATATTATTATAGTAGATAAGTAAGATGATGATTAAAAACAACCTTATAAAGTAGTAAAAGAAGAGACGTAGGTTTCTCGCTTCCGTTCCGGCTTCGCACACCGCCGCACTCAACAAAAGGCGGGATAGCAACGCTCCAACGCAGCAGATGGGTCTTCAACGCATCTATTGAGCAAAAGCAGTAGCCTGCCCCTGACCGATTCGAACGATCGACCTCGACATTTCGCGTTCCAGGAGGTGCTGGATACTAGTGTCGCGCTCTACCAACTGAGCTAAACGGGCTTGCTTATTGAGTGGTTAATACATTGAGAATCAATATCAAACAACATCCCGAACGGATGGCAATGCAACAAGTAAAAACACATCGAAGCACAGACCCATGTCTAGAAGCAAATGATGGGTATATAGCGATAAATAGCAGCTCTCCGTCGAGACGTCGGAAAGAACGAGAGTGCAAGATGAGGTCGAGATCGTGACGAGATCAGGCCTTTTCCGGGTCATTGATGCCGCCGGTGGTGATAATGTATGTCGCTTCCTTCTCAGCGCAGTCTGCATAATTCTCTCAGCTGATGGGTCAATAGGGTCGGACAATGACGAACTAACCGGGCGAGTCTACAATCTTGGCGACGCGTTCTTCGGCTCTGCCCTTGCGGAGGAGGATACGGGTTGTGGCGGCGTGAGCGAGGATGTGACCACCAACCGGTTTTCGACCATCAACACTCATACCGAAAGTAGCGCCCGGATCGCTTTGAACTTGGTTGGTCATAAAGACGCAGACATTGAACTCTGTGTCTGGTTAGCGAAGGCCGTGAAAGTGAGGGTAGAGATGGATGTGGTTTACCCTCAGCAGTCTGCTTCAGCCGTTGGAGATACTGGTTGAGCTTTCCCTGTCGCTCTGAAAGCTCTCCTCGGCCGTTGTAATCCGTCCGGAAAAGGGCCATGATACTGTCGACAACGACGAGGCGATATTCTCCACTGAGCATAAACTCCATGACCCGATCCAACAATTCATGTTGGTTCTGCTCGAACGTCAGCTCCGTCCTGCAGGAGCATACATGTTGGCACACGCACCTCGCTGTTTCTGACTCGGCTGTAGATGATGTTCTCTCGGGCGACGTCCTTGTCCACTATACTACTGTCAGCAAGTTTCTGAGTCATCGCGACTTTACTCAAGCTTACACTCGAAACGCTCCGCGATCTCCGCGATACGCTCAGGCCGAAATGTCCCCTCGGTGTCTGAGCAGCATGTCAGCAACAGGGTTGTCAAAAGTGAGTCTCAACAGATCACTCACCGAAGTAGACCACTTTCCCACCACCGCCTTTTTGTGACTTGACATGTCAGTCAACGTTCAGGTGCATGTGAAAGCATGCTAGATACCTTCGGAAGCTAAGAAGTTGTTAGTATAGCGAACGTCGTTAAGAGACACAATCATAAGAACGTACCTGCGCTACGACGGACAGCGTGTGTGCCATCTGTGTCTTGCCGCACCCTGCTCTCGGTCAGCAACTGCTTGTGGGAGGCGCAAGTACACTTAAGCATACTGAATTCTCCGTAAACCTCATTGATACTGCCAGTCTCAAAGCCGCTGCGACGCTGTTAGATATACTCAATGACAGGGAGAGAGTCGCTGTTGAAGCAAACCCATTGAGAATTGTATCAAGCTGCGAGCTGCCGGTGGACAGTTTGATGACCTTCTTCCGCACCTGCCCGAATTCGAAGGCGGTCTGGAACCCGGGACCCTTTTTGTCATCAGCGCTACGAACACCTCCAAGGGCTCGTTGTCCAGAGCGTGCAATCTTGACCTACAGTGATCTTCTGCACCGCTTCCTTGACCTTTTCAACCTTGATTTCGCTGAAGCCCTTGATCTTGAGTAGGTTCTTCCTGGGAGCGCATTCAATGGCACCAATGGTCCAGTAACCAGCGGATCTAAGTTTGGTGATGTCGGCGGCATTGATACCTGGGTATACGCGTCAGGGTCAGCGCTTGTATCTGACCTTATCATTGCGAAGACACGTACCGTGGTTCTGAAGCTCTTCGACAGTCAAGACACCCTCGTCATCCGAGTCGCTGTGCTCAGATTCGGGCATGTCGGAGGGCTGAGACAGAGTACGAACCATTGCACCTGTTGGGGAGGCCACGGAGGACCCTGGGTTGTTGGTGCTGCTCTGCGACGATGAAACAGGAGATGCAGGATACGGAGTAGACGAGCCCGGGCAGCGAGAGTGCCCACAAGAGCGTCGAGCGAGTCTATTTATTGAAGGGGTGAGGGATGGTAGGAGAAGGAGGAGGAGGAGGAGGAGGAGGAGGAGGAGGAGGAGGAGGAGGAAGCCGTATTGTAGAGAAGAAAAACGCGTTTTTACTGGCGGTGGGACGGCCAGGCAGCGATGCTGTTATGGAAGGAAGGAACGATGGAGAGAAGTCGAAGCGCGTAGCCATGTCCGCTTTGGGAAGGTGGGAACGCTTCGAAAATGACAAGCTGGGCAGCAACCACAAGGTTGAAAATAGACAAGAAGAAGATAAAAAGACTTGATGAACGTCAGGTTGACGAATATATTGAAGTCGAAAAATTGTGTATAGATTCAAGCCGTATATACCTACGATCTAGTCTCGCCCAGATCAGCAAGCAATAGGCATGAAGACTAACAACAAAATGCTCGAAAAACAAAGGCCCACGAGATGCCAGACGTCCACAACTCAGCGCACTACCTCTGTAACCTCCTTCCTTTCCCTTCTTTCCTTCCTTCTCCGCCGTCGCTGTTCCTCTTCTCGCCTCAGTTTCTCCTTGAGCCCGCTTCCTTGTCAATCACATCTACAGGTCAAGAGTACCGCTTCGCTTCCGTGTATGCAGGTGACATGGTGCTGATCAGATCAGGATATCGTGGAAAAGAAAAAAAACTTTTATCAGATTGAGCGCAATTGGGATCGTGGTGAGTCGTGAATGCGTGACAAATTGTCGGCTCCGCCATGAATGTAAAAGGGCATGGCTTCCAAGAGGCCGAAATGGTGAGATAAGGGAAATGAACGAAGGAAAATTCACGGCCACCAGGGAGCAGACGGGGAGCTATATGGAATTTGTCGATATGCTTCAGCTCCCAAAAAGCATGGCGTAAGCTGTCAAAGCTCCTTATGCGACGACTGGGGCAGGGTCAGCGACCGGCGCAGCGACAGGAGCAGCAGCAGCAGCAGCAGCAGCAGCCGGTGCAGCGTCGCCGTTGACCTCGGCCTGAGAACACTCCCTGGAAATGTGACCAGTCTCGCCGCAGCGGTAGCAGGTCTTTCCAGCAGTGTTCAATGGACCGCCATTTGGTGCGGTGCAGTCGCGGGAGATGTGGCCAAGCTTGCCGCAGGCGTAGCATTTCATGGCCTGAGCCTGGCAGTCACGGGCAAAGTGGTTTGGTCCGCCGCACTTGTAGCAGGTAGCAGGACGAGCACCACCAGCGAAACCGCCACGGAACCCTCCGTATCCACCACGAGGAGCGGCTGCACCGCGTCCAGCACCAGCGCCGGGGTTGGGGCAGGCACGCTGTTCACCGTTAGTACGTGCTCATCCGGCACAGATAACCAAGATATACATACAGCAAGGTGCCCAACCTGGCCGCAAGAATAGCAGCGGCCGTTAGCCGCACCCCCACTCAAGCGCAAAGTTGGGCAGTCAGCCTGAACGTGTCCGAGACCCTGGCAGTGGTAACACTGCTTCGCTGACAATCATGAGTTTCCAGCTCTTGTCATGTACATGTCGTTCCAGACTTACTCTCAGTAGTACGTGGGTGAGGGCAGTTGTTCGACTCGTGGCCTGTGACATGTGAGTACAGTACAAACATGTGGCTCCAAGGCGCGTGTCCGTACCTGGTTGTTTACAGTTGTAGCAGAGGCGCTCCGAAGACGAGCAAACTTCAGCATAGTGGCCGACATTGCCACACTTGTAGCAGGCCCGGCGCGAAAGGGAAGACATCCTACTTTCTCCTTCTAATAGCTGTGGAGTACCAGACGTGTCAGCCAACTGTATGTGAAAGGTGCGATTGCCTGCCGTCCAGGCCCACGTGTCCGCCATGCTCTTGCGCTCTTGTTACCGAGGGCGCATAGCGCTGGCGTTGAGGATGAGGCAGCGTGCGCGACAGATGGGTGGCCGAATCTAGACGATAGAGATGCGCCAGAAGGTGCGCGTGCACAATGCGATGTTCGTGACTGACCTCGTTGTCCAAATTCCTTCACCTACAAAACCAAAAGTCTGGTTAGCTACATGTAGCAGGACAAACATGTCTCGGCAGAAGGATGCAGGGTTGCCATGCCGTCGCGGAACTGCGCGTGCGACATGAGGATGGGAACTCGACGTACTCTTCTTTCAGATCTCCTGCCCTCAGCAACTCTCTCGTCCGTCCCTCCGTGAATAACAGCAGCGACAACAGCAGCAGCGGCAGCGGCGGCAAGAATGTGGGGGTGTCGATGATTTGTATCTCCCGCTGTGCTCGCTGCAAAAGAAAAGCCGTTCGTGCTGCAGCGTGAATGGTCCGTTCACACGCCGACGCTAGCACTACCGAACCTGTGGCGTGTAGGTTCTAGACAAAACCAGATGATCCACAAGGCGGCCGGTGATTTCGTGCTCCTGACCTTTGCCAGCTGTCCGCCCTCGATGTTGCTTCACACCCCGATCTAGAAGCAGTGCTCCAAACTTACGAGGTACAGCAGTGAGAGTCCGAAACATTCATGGTGGTTGTGTTCTTGTTCATCTCGCAACTCTTCGTAGAGCAGGGCCCAATCTAACGTCTCACGTCTAACGGACCATGCATAATCGTCCCTGGCGCCGAACCAAAAACCCGCATATGTGAAGCGAGCCGCATCGCAGCACGCCTATCAGCGCCATTTGCTCCTCCCCATTAAACTAACCACTCTACTCCGCCTCAATTACCGCTGGCGCCCTGATAGTCCGCTCCTTCAAAAACCCGAGTCCCTCACCACCCTGTACCATCCGTTAGCACGTATTCTATATCATGCCCGTATCCGGTACTTACGTAGCTGATCTTTGGTGACACCTCCACACCATCCCCTCGCGCTCGCTCGTGACCGTGCCGCCGGCCGCCTCAATCCACTTCCTGCCCTGTTCGAGGACATCACGCTTGCTGGTGTCCGGATCGTCCTCTCCAGTGCCTCTAGCGTTCTTCAGCGGCGAGAACTCGTCCTCACGCTTGACCTCCATGCATGCGAACTTGTCCATTGACAGGAATGGGAAACAGTCGAAGACGAATTGCTCAAGCTTGATGCCGTTGGGCTTCTCCGGCTTGA